GTCCTGGTAACGTAACTTTGGTTTCCCCACATGCCGCTTCCCAATACTCCGCTGACCATATAAGAGTTGTTTCGGTATCCGCGTCAAATCCATACGGCTCACATGACCCATCCACCTCACGTGTCTCAGCACAATTATGCAGTCCACTGCATACGTCCCACTTTGTCGCAACACTTCCGTGTCAGCAACTCTGTCTCCCTAAGTGATGCGCAAAATCCGTCGCAAACACTGCTGATGGAACCGCTCGAGATATCGCACATCCCGCCGGTACATCGTCCACGTTTCACTGCCGTATAGAAGAACGGACAGCGCCATGGATTTGTACACCATCAGCTACGTGCCAATGGTAAGCTGATAGTTGTTCCAAACTCGGTATTCTAGCTTCCCGAATGCCGCCGCTGCCTTCGACACGCGGATACGAAGCTCACTGTGAAGCTGCTGGTCAATCGACATCACACTCCCAAGATAGCTGAAGCGGGAGGTGGTTTCCAATACTTCGTCACCAATGCTGATTCGCGGTAATATTGAGGATTGCACCTCCGGTGAAGGCTGAAAATGATAGACAGTTTTGCTTGTGTTTATGGTGAGCCCGAATTTGGCCGCTGTCGAAGCCAGAGCACTAGTCATGTGCTGCAACCCATCCGCGCTGTGTGCGAAAAACGCACAGTCGTCAGCAAACAGCAACATACGGATAGTTGTCTCACAGACTAGAGTTCTCGCACCGAAACGACGGATGTTCAGCAACCCACCATCAATACGGTGCTCCACACGAACACTGTAAGTACAAGCCGCATCAAAAACACAAGACATCATTGCATGAAGATAAATATTAAACAGGGCAGGAGCTTAGACACAGCCTTGCTTCACACCAGAGACAAGTGCAAAGTCATCAGAGGTCTCTCAACTCAGCTGCACCCTCGCTCGCATACCACTGTGCAGACATTCAATTAAACTTACAAACTTACGCGGGCAACCAAACTTATCCAAAACCAGCCACAATGCCTCGCGGTTCACCGTATCAAATGCCTTGGTGAAATCAACAAAAAGCGAGTACAATGGCTGGTGTCGTTCTCTGCACTTCTCCTGCAACTGACGAGCCGCAAACACCATATCTATAGTGCTGCGACTCGAACGGAATCCACGTTGCTCTTCCGCCACGTTCGGTTCCACAACCTGACTGACGAGGCGGTTGAGCAGGATTCGGGCAATCACCTTACCCACACAACTCAGCATGTTAATGCCACGATAATTCGTGTAACATTGCTTGCTACCTTTACCCTTGTACAGTGGTAGCACAAGGGCATCCTTCAGCTCAGGAGGCACCTCCTCAATCCATACAAGTTGCACCAAGTGGTGCAGCGCAGTCACCAACGCAGGTCCGCCATGCTTTAATACTTCAGGCGGGATCATGTCGGCTCCGGCACACTTTCTGTTTCGCAGCTGAGCAAGTGCTCTCTGCGTCTCATCCAGTGTTGGCATGTCCGCCAGACTCGCCTTCACATCGTGCTACTTGAGGTCGTTCAATGTAGGCCAGTCGATCTCTGAACGGTTTTTCAAGACACAGTCAACGTGATTTTTGCCAGATCTGCATTATGTCTGCAGTCTGTGTGCAGGTAGCGCCTGAACTGCCATCGATCAGCGTCCACAGTGACTGCAACTTCGATCCATACACCGCCTTCAAGGAGTCAAAGAATTCCTTGTGTTGGCGGCGTTCGGCGTAGCATTCCATCTGCTTCGCCTTCTCCGTCCATCATGCATTTTTAATGCGACGGAGCTCTCGGGCCAGTCGCCGTCGAAGTTTGCGAAACTGACTCTTCTTCCCCAAGTCTCTGAAGGTCTGCGACATGTGCAGCAAATGCTGCATTCTTCTCCGACACCAACGCGCCAATCGTCGCATGGTTCACGTCAAACCAATCAGGCCGCTTACAGTTTGCGCGCCCGATGGTCTCCTCAGCAGCAGCTGTCACCTGGTCGCAAATGTGGTGCCACAGGTCGCCCACTGTGGCTATGCATTCCACTTCATACAGACGTGCAGTCATCGCCTTCTCTAGCTTTAGAGAATGTTAAATTTATGCCGATTCACGGCGGGAGTGCAATACATAGATTTACTAAAATATATGTACAGTTTGGTCCGCACCAATCTGTGATCAGTGCCACACTCAGCTCCACGCAGTACACGTGTCATGCGCACTTCACGTATGTCACGCTGACGTACGATGACATAGTCGAGCAGGTGAGCGTGACCACTCTGTGAGTGCGTCCAACCTTCAAAATCACTCGCGCTCAGTGCAAACCGAGTGTTTGTGATCGTTAGGCAATGAGTGATACACAGTGAGAGCAACCTGTCACTGTTCGTATTCGCTTAACCAATGCCATGCGAACCGATAACATCCGTCCACACAGATGCATCACGCCCAATGAGCGCGTTGAAATCACCCAGCAGAAATAGTCGGTCGCACCTCACTACAGACCGTATCACGGAGGATAGCTGAGTGTAGAATTGATCACGCGTGTCATCAGGATAACACATGGTCGGACCGTAGGTGTCGATAAAAGTGGCCAACTTACCTCTTCCGAGTCGTAGGCGAACAGTCATCAGTCGCGCGGTGATGCCTGTTGGCTCACCCACGAGCTGGATATTCAGGTCATCGGATATTGCATATCCGACCCCATATTTACGTGGTGCTTAAGTGGAGGTGCCCACCCAGTAGAACGTGTAGCCCACAGCTGCTTCATGCAACTTACCTTGCTCAGCGAGCAGGGTCGCTCTGAGCACCGCAATATCGTTGTATCGCGTCAGTTACATTGCGACTAGTGCAGTGCGTCGCTAGGGGCGCTTACTCGTATTCCGGTCGAGCAAAGTGCGCGCATTACAGCACCAGATGCTTAGTGCTTTGTGCGGAGGAATTTGTTTTGTGCATTCTGTTAGACCCATTAGCTGCGGATTGTCTGGTTTGCGCTCTTTGGTATTGGGCCTGTTCGATGAAGTTTAGGTCGATGAGTATCTAATGCCGAGATCGCGCATGGACAACTATATAGCGACATGTTCATTGTTGCTTAAAATAGTTCCTTCTGGGATGGAACGTCCGTAAACCGTGGTGCTTGATTTTTTGGCCGTGTGATTCATCATCCACTAGTGGCACCATGCTTCAAGAGGATACAAGTCATCTTGAATGAGCAGCATCGCTCCATTTGGGTCTAAGCTTACGGACGTTCCTGATATCGTCAACATAGGGAAGTGGCCCAGGTGCAGTATCCGGTGCGTCATAATGAGATCAACTCGAAGCCGACGATATGACAGGGTATAAAGCTCTGGTCTCCTACACCATTCTTCGCACGAAATACCCCGTAAACTGGTCAGTTTTTTCAAACAACCAGGCGATCATAGGGGTGGGGAAATGGGCTATTATTTCCCAAAATTTGTTTAGGACCTCCCTTTATCGAAGCATGAGTGAAGACGTTTCCATTCATCTGCGAAGTGGCGAGACTCCAGCGATGCAGCGAACATGCTCATGAGGAGCAGTGGTATATCAGACCTCCCTTTGTTTAATGGCGGAATACCATCAGAATCCAGCTTGAACGGTGGCTTACTCGATCCAATAACTTGGTGGATACTGTCGAGCGAAATATCAACTCTGCCTATGACGTTTGTTACTGCAAACTTGGTGTCCAACCTGCTATGGCAACCACCTGTCTATGGCGACTAGCCAAAAACATCCCCAACGTTTTTTAAGGAATAATGTCTCTATGCATGAATCTGACCACGGCGACCACTTTTTGTCACTCCCTTGACTGGTCGCTTTAGCCAGAGTTGACTGTATATGATGGCAGCAAGTCGAACTATTGATAGCTTGGGTTGGATGTTGAGATATTGGTTCGCTTGCGGTGCTGCTCAGTTCGACTACAGACGTTTTGTCGCCGTTCGAAGTGACATCTTCGACGCGTATTGATGTTGTTGCTGTAGTAGCAAGAATAGACGTAATAGCATTGCTGGCATGAACTGCGCTTCACACAAATTTGGGATGGATCGTCGTCGGTCTTTCTTAATCCTACAGATGGTTTTCTGGATGACTGCTTTTCTATGGCATCTTTAGGGGCATGAATAATTCGCTCACACTGTGGAGCAAGGAAGGACATAGCACGAAGGGTCTGCTGATAGAATTTCTCTACAGTAGAGAAAAAGAATACATTTCATAGGATTAATTGCTGAATGTATTTCAAATTGATTTTATGGATTGCGTCGTAAAAGCAAGTTTGGCAGCCAATTTAATGTGGAATATAAGTGGTACCATCTTATATTCGCTGCCAAGGAGAATATTTCTGATCTCGGGCTGTGCGTTGAGGGTCCCCAAATGTGAAGATTAACTCAAGTACAGTGACTGACCTCATTATACTTGTGACCTATTTTGTCCAACTCCCGCTCCAACGAAGTAGGAACACCTTTGTGCATAGATGACTATCTTTGGGATGACCAGCGATTTTTGGTATGTTAAAATCACCGGCAACTATCCTCTGCCTATGTGCCAACCGTCATGCAGAGCTAAATGGCCATGTTAGACGCATTCGTCAGATTGTAAACTAAGACGAGCACTTCTATCGCTTAGTCTGTTGTCTACATTACTGGTTCACTTTATTGAATCGGCCATACAATTTAACAATACACTATCACATCAGAGTCCAGTTCGCCCCGTAAATTTTAATTTCCTTTCTATAAAAGTAATTTAAACGAATTCTGCACTGTTTACATGCGGCCTCTTTTCTGTTCAAGTTAAATTACTTGCTGGACACTTCCTAAAACATCATGCTTATATGCACCTTATGTTGCTAATCAGACATACGTCAGAATAACGTGGATCCCTTTAGCCATCTTCACACATATTTGAGGGATATTCATGAGGATAACATATTCGCATGGTATGTTTTAGTTCTGCATCTTCTCTACAACCTGGGTGTTTATTTTATAATGGTCATTCGTTTACCTTCTGTTCGTGACATTTTAGAGCAGTCAAAGCTGGCTCGGTCAATCCACTTTTGGCTTTGGCACCTTTGAAATCTACCGAAAAGTTGAAAGCCAGCTGGCTGAATCCTAAGTCCATGAGTATGACTGCGTTATTGGGTGCATTACATGCTCTGTACGTGGTGAGTCCGCCTCAGGGGATCGTTAACGTGTTTATCATGTTTTACACTGCATGTTTTCGTAACTATTCGTCCACTTCCTTCGCCTTATCATGTGGCTGACCGGCAGCTTGTGGATTTGTGCTGTGCTCCACCTTATTGTTATCAATTTGATTTTTTTCTGCTCAGGATTTATCTTGGCTTTTGCTTCCATTGCCACTGGCCAGACATGTCGGTCATTACTACTTTCCACGTTTACTTTTCCTCCTCATCGGAGTATGTTGTTCTATTCCTTATGTGCCTTCACTCTACGCTACTTTATTTCAAACTGCACTTCAACTCACCGGCTTACAAATCAGCTCTCCTTTTATGACAGCATTTGCTGTTGAAACTTTGCAGCTGGTAGCCACTTCACGCTATTTGCTAATGTTATTTCTTCTCTAAAGACTAGCCGACTATTCACCAAGTACTTAGACTTGTTATTTTTCTACTATTGCTCCTTTGTTTCCGACATCTCACCATTCTAACCTTTTAGTCTCCTAGCTTTTCACACTTTATTCAGATGGTCTTGAAGTTAAATGTGATCAACTTCTGAAATTCCGCAGTGTGCGCCCAGCCTGCTATGGACTGTGATGCGTTTCTAGGTATCCTTTTAGATTCGCTCCACTTCCGTTTAATCACTTATGTTCCAGACACTAATGTGAGGTGGATCCAGCCACTTTTTTCGCATCGTTGTGATGCCGATGGTTAATAGCGCCAAGGATGTTGGGAAATAGAGAACAAGTGAATGGAACCAGGGGACTAAGATCCTTTAAATGGAACAGTTGAACGCTTGAGGCAAGAGACACGATTTGTACCGCTGTTGCGATCTCGAGCACGTCATGTCAGAAATGGTCTGGCCACTAAGGTAGTAAGACTTATTTCCCGGAGATTTTCATATATCGTTCTTTGACACATACTAACGCTGGGATTAAGCACCAGTTGGTCAATACCGGCCCAGAGACGCCTCCTTGGGTCATATAGTGTCAACTTAATGAGTGCATCGCTAGGTATTTCATAGCAACAAATGGTGATCAGCGGACCATATAATTGGTTCACTGTTAGGACCCTGTATGTCATCTAGCCTTATCGGCGCTTGAAGCAGTAACGGAAACTGTACTGGTGGATTCAATGACCCAGCTACCGGCTATGATAGCACACGATTTGGATTTTTCCGCGCAACGTTCTGGTAAACTGTCTTGTAGGCGAATCACTTTTCATCCCTATTCTGGTGTTGTTTCACTCATTAGAGCTACTCTTGGTCCTATGTTCTGAATGGTTTAAAACAGTACTCTTTTGTTCCTAGTTGCATCCTATTTTCTTGTCTCATGGATCCTTCGATATTTCTCTCGGCTGCTGGTTTAGACCCTATTTGATTTTGAAAGCCCTCCACCCAATGGTCCATGAAATTCTGTTTGCCATAATATGCTGTGGACGAATATATTTTTTCACTCGCTGCAGTATTTACCATCCAGTCGCCATTGCTGATCCGGTTTTATTCTCACATGACCCTGCCGACTAAGTTGACTGCTTGGAGGGTGTATTACCTGGTACACAGGTGTCGGCAGCATACCGGCGCATCACACTGATACTTGTCCATCACTCAGCCACAGGTGAATTGGCATACTGTGTGGTCGTCTGCGACTACGCAGTTCTAATTGATGACCCATAGATGAAAACGCATATACTTGAGCCACTCCGATAGACCCTGCAAAGTCACACCCCAGTACAGAACATTTCGTGCTGTATGTTGCTGTTTACATTGTCCATAGCACTAGCTAACTTAAGCCGATTATTTATCCACTTTGTTCATGTTTAGTGTTGGTCTCTCAGTTTCCGAAACTTTATGAGGTACATGTATTTCATCACCTAATGCGCATCGATTTCACCATGTCTGTTTCTCTGTTCACATCGGATCGGTTATTATTTCTCGTTCGTTTACAATAATGCAGCCCTTGGAGGTGCGTGAATTTGCAGTTCAGCCGCGCCCGAGCGGCGCTGCAAAATCCATCAAATCGACCAAGGTCGAGTCTCTCAGTTGGTTCTCTGGTTCTCACTTGGCAGTGGATCACGAGAAGTTGGTAAGTGTTTATGCAAACGGGTATGTGTCTTGTCTCTATGACACTGTATCATCCACTGAATGTTCATGGGGCCATTGTGTGTGCAAAGGTGAAGTGCTTTGATTCGCCAGCATATATATTTTCACACTTCCGTTGTTCGCATGGTTCCATGGTGCGAGATGATAAAACTTGTCTGTTTTTTGTTCGGAACTTTGCACCTTCACAAATAAGGAAGTTGTTCGTAATAGTTGTGCAATGCATTACCTTCCAGTAATTTATGCTTGCTCGTCTTAATCGCATTCCAACTAACTGGGATTGCCCTCCATTATCGGCATTTATTTCTGGTTTATCTTATTTTAACTTCAGCCCATTTACTTGGATCGGTTCTCTGCAATAATGCCCGTTCTCTCACACCTTCCTCTATATCACGACGGATATATGGCGCCCATCCATAACCCTGGTTCATTGGTTATTATCAGTCGGTCCGCACAGTCTCAGCCTCAGATTACTGCTCCGGCCATGTATTTCCTGGGTCCAGAGCCGCTGTTATGATCCGCAGTCGGTCACGCCGATGTTTCTGTTTCCCTGTAAAAAATTTATTTAGGGTAACAGTATAAGGTAACCGCCGTTGTCGTATACAATAAATCAAATCAGTTCCTCACCATCAACTACAATGTGTTCGATTCCCGACATCGCAATCCTCTTATGGTGCACTACGGCTGCCCCGAGCAAGTCGCGCGAAAGCGGTCAGGCTATTGACTATTACAACTGTCTTCCTCATGTTGCACACCAAAACGTCACAGGTATATGTGAAGCATGGAAAGAATCATCGTTCGGAGAAGACGTACGTGTTAAAATCAATTTCCTGTAAGCGGGACAAAGAATGTATGCAGTACAATATGTCTTGATGTGCTGAACACCATGTATCCTGTGGGCGCAGTGCCCACGACGGGCAACCACTCGGGCTCCGAGGCAGACGGTTAGTTATTTGATGGGGCTGTGCGCATATTACTGTCATGTCTTGGCTTGTTTCTGAACTGTGCCTCACTCTAGATGGTGATTTTCTCTTGCAATCATTTTCCTTAGACCAAATGGACTGGTACGAGTCAGTGATTTCGCTGGGACTTTAATCGGTTCCGATGGACAACCATAGCCTCAAACATAGTATATCCTTAACGTTTGTTATCTTTTCCTTACTTCACCCACAGACGCCTCACGCTATACTATTGGTTTAAAAATACGACGTTTCTCTTGCCCATTTTAATGTCATCGTTGGTTGACTTCATTAATTATCTGCAGTGGCACTCTACACTCCCCACACAAGTTATCACGTGCTACTCACCGTTTACTCTTCCGCTGGTTACTCGAGTTGCGATTTTGTAGCTGAAGAATCTAAAGCTTTATCCTCAACCTTTAGCTAGTGTTCGTCTTTCATAAGCCAGTAACTTCGAGGTCGGTAGCCAATTCTTGCATCTGGAAACTGTGTGAGCAAAGTGACGAACATCGAAATCGATCCAACTTTCTGGAACCAGCGTCGTCTCCGTTGATTCAAGCACAATTTCATCCATCTCGTACGCCTCGTGAAAATTGCACTACAATCTCAGGTGTCATCTAGCTGAGAAACGCTCAACAGAGAGTATGCCTTCGCGATCACATTAATCCATTCACACGACGGACGCATAGCGAGTACGACAGGCGAGATGCGAGCACGGTATGTGAACACGGAAGCAGCACAATGCAGCGGGATTGGAATAGACTACTGTCAGGCGGATCAGTTTTTCACACCTGCGTTCTGCACGATGATGTTCAGCTAAGTTCGCATCTATTCTTTAAGAATCTGCGATTACAAGCGGAAAGGAAAGTACGTCAAAGAGAACTGGCTGGTGACTGTCCGTAATTAGCGGCTGCCCACCTACGCTCTGCAGCATGTATCCTTCCGGATGCCACCCATCCCACTCTGTCGTTTAGCTGTCACTGTAAACTTTGAGACGCAGATAGAGAAACGATGATAGGTTCAAGTGGGTACTTTCCGGTATTACTCGCGCCGTAACACTTCACTGCACGACCAGTTCATCCTTGTTCTGGCTTACCGGGTAGAGAGCCGGAGATGAGATGGATTGATTGACGGTTGACACCTTCGTCACTAGGCTACTAAGCCCCGCGAGCAACGCTCAGCAAACGGTGAGAGGTTCATTGTTGCACTTTGGAGTGCCCAATGTGTGTTTGTGTTGCGTCACGCAACCTCAATTTGGTGTCATCTGTGTTGGAGAGTTTTGAAGCTCGAGCTGACTGAGCCCGCTCAGACGATAATTGTCGTATTTTAGTACTAACGAATAAGCACTGCAGGTTTCAAGTAGTGAAACGACCAAGTACTCGGGATAGTTGTTGCTATGGTCATGACTAAAGGTACATTAGAGATGCGACAAGCAAGCGGACACAAAGTACACACATGTCACATGTAATGCACCGCGTTAAATAGTTTTGAACATGACCGGCGGCATCATCGAGACGCATAAAAGGAGTCAGATGCCTCACATGCTTTGACCTTGGCCAAACGCTCAAGCTCATGACTTGCATAAAAACGCGCGATGGTTTCGATGTGGCTCTCTTCCATCCCTACACCCCACGACCACCCATTTCGTCCTAGTTTGGACTCATCTGATAGAGAGCCGAGCTTGGTGTGAAACTCGGCGCATAGTGTTTGGCGGCTATCGTCATAGTCACCAGGCCATTGAGTTCTGGTGGTGTTAACACGCACGTAGTCGGTTGCGAGCAATGAGATGGCTTTGCAACTATCACAATAGTGATCACGCATACTCAAACGGATAGGCTACGTAACCCGAGGTACCAACAGATTGCCACACCTTTGTTTCTCCGCCGCTTCCCTTTCTTTGAACGCTCTGTGACTTCACAAGCACACACTACCCGAACTTTCTTAGCTCAGTTTCTCGCCTATCTTCGTCTTCGTTCTATGTTTCATCGTGGTAGGGGGCTTATGTTCTGGGCATTGTCTGTAGGCCTTTTGTGAAGGCATCCATTCGTTTCTCCTTTAATATGCATCAAAGTGTATCGCTTCCATCGCAAGGTATTTGTTTGCCTTCTTCGCAATAGCTTGTCTATTTTTGCACGTCTGTCATTTCCGATCCCTGCAGGTCAGTCTGGCTTGGAGCCTAGAAGAAGGTCGTCGCGTAGCTCGTGATATTGGCGGATCGGACCCAGAACGGATGTGCGCCAGCCACATTGTTAGCTACCTCAAAACCGAATTTGCAAACAGCAACGTTCATCTTAAGCTCGAGCCCGTGGACGCGGAGCAGTATCCTCTCGCCGCTGTTGTCGATCGGGGCAGTGAGTTCTTATAACCTACTCCACTCATTACTATGTTTATTGGTCTACCGTTGCCTCCACCTTAGGTTTTAATTGGTCACCATCTTCCTGTTGATCTGTCAAGTTCGATTATTGTTAGTGAACATGTATCTGTTAGTTAATGCGAACCATCGCTTCCTTTGCCATTTGAAGCACCAACCGTCTTATTTCTGTTACTTTCTGATGTCTTGCGCACCTCCTTTCTTGACCGCTCATTGTGGCCAACGGGATCTACCTTATTGTTTCCTCCTATGACAAGGAGTCTTGTTCATTTACCAGGTACCAACCCTACATCAATCACCTGATCATATTGGCATTTTTAGGTGACACTCGTCATGCTGGATCCATCGTTCATCTGGAATACACCAGTCCGGTGGATGCCGGTACCAAAGAGTCCGATCTCACGAATCTGTATCTTGTCGGCAAAGGTATCGTCTACGATACGGGTGGCTCTGACCTGAAGGTTGGTGGTAACATGGCCACAATGCATCGAGACAAGTGTGGAGCCGCTGCGGTGGCCGGATTCTTCAAGGCAGCCAGCCTACTCTCACCGAAAAATCTGAAGGTTTGTTACGCGTTAGAATTGCATATTCTTTCGTGCACTACTAAATGGAGTTACCTTCGGCTATTTTGACTTGGCTTTATGCCGTCGTAGAATGCCGCAAACGGCGACTACCTTATTTGCGATTACATACCTTAAAGGTTCCTGCTGTTGTATTTCAATGAACATGGTCCAGTGAATCAGGAATCTTCTCAGTGTTTCCCTTTGTAACGTCGTATACCACAACCATTTTTCGCGGGCCCTTCAGGTAGAGATAGTACGATCGATTTTCCAAATTTTGGCCCCACTGCCACCAGCCGAATTCATTAACCAGTGAGTTATGTGGTTCCGCGAACATCGTTAACTACGACTTGGAATCAAATTTTACGGTTGGCGGGCTTTACATTCCTGCTACACTTTTGCATGACAACATACAATTTTAGCTTAGAGGATTGTTATATGCCCATTGCACCCTGCACTTCCATGGTTTACCTAGCCCGTTTACCCAGCATGTTTTACTTCAGCCCCATCACCTCGATATTTTGGCTTCCCGTGTTGCCCTGGACTATTTTCTATCTCACCTATGTCGGTTTCGAGGGATATAATATCCTTCTGCACATCAAACCACGTCACGAGGAAGACGCTGCACAAGTGTTCCATCTCCCTTCACCGTTTTAGTGATTGGAGCATGCATCCTATCTTAGCTTCTTCATTCCACTTCCCAATGTACTGCGAACATTGATGGACCTACTGTGGTACCTACTGTTGTGCCGGTCATTTATCGTAAGCGTGACCATTCACACACTTGGTCATGAGTATGTATGCGCCTCCTAGTCCGAATACACCTTTTGTTTGCTTTTCCACTCTCCGTATGTGCACGATTCTTTGTCACCATTGTGTTTCCCCTTGCCCCTTTCAGCTTCATGGTAGCCTGGCCATCGTCCGTAATAGTATTGGACCCAATGCCTACGTCAGCGATGAACTAGTCACCTCTCGGGCTGGGGTTCGTGTTCGAGTGAACAATACTGACGCGGAAGGCCGCATGGTGATGACGGATCTGCTATGCGAGGCGAAGGAGTGGGTAAGCTCGTTCATCTGTTCACTGTTGCGGCGTTCGCCAAATGCCTCGACATTGCCTTTTCGATGAATTATTTTTGATCGCTACCGCTCTTTAATGATAGGTTGGCGCCCTTCATCGGGCGCTAGCACTCTACAAGCTGCTCTGGTCTTGTATTCAAGAGTGCAATTTTCGTCCTCTGTCATCGAGATCAGTAAAAAATCCGATTTGTTTCACTTTATCAGCTGAGATTCGACTACAATGCACACCAAGTTGCTACTAACACCGATGACCTTTACCGATGGAGGTTCAGTCTCGATCGCCCCATGGTTTGACGGCCCTTTCGAACATGATATGGCGGTGAATTCGCTAGCTTTATCACGCTCAACTCGATTTTCCCGTCCCACGATTTAACTTTTTCCATCACCTTCATCGAACTCTTTTTGCGCTCGGATTTCAGGCAACAGGGCAAATTGAACTACACATTACTGACACCGTCGTTTTGGAATGGTCACCATTACGAACGTTGACCAAAGAAACGTTCATGAGGTTGGGAAGCCGTGACATTTGAGATTGTTTTTTTAGCATCTGGAAACAGGCATCTGAATTTAGGTGTACTACCGACTGACGTTATGAATCATACAGAATGGCGCTCCAAATGACTGGCATTTCCAATACTCCGGGCGCTATTCAGCAAACGACCTACATCAGCGCGACTCATTCCCTCTGATGGTTTCTTCATGAGCTTGGGCGCCAGTATCTGTATCCACAGAACTCATCTTATTTACAACTATCCTTGACCCTATATTCGGTTATCAGTCAGCATGCAAGTACATGACTTAGACCTTGTAGGTGTTGCGGATGCTTTTTACCATCCAGAACTATCCCAGTTATTCTCTTACCATTCCCCATCATTATTCAACACATTAGCTAAGGGTGCGAAACACCTCAGCTGTTGTGCCGCAAGTGGCAGAACAAAAGAAACAACAACAGGTCAAAACAAAACCAACGTATTTTTATGCGTTGTCTTATACATTTACGACGAGATCGTAGTTAAAGAGGAAACCAAACGGGAAGGGGCGGGATAAAGAGGCTCGCGACACAGATGCATTATGGTCGGTTCTTCCCTCATGTCAACAGGTATATTCAGCCGAAAGTGTTAATCATTTTTACTCCAATAACTAGGCAGCCGAAAGGATCCAGCCGAGTCCAACTTCAAAGTGAGTGCCTTCATTTCTCTTGACTAAGTCATCGACTGGTCTCCCCTCTTCTACACACATACACATTATACACGTTAGCTACAGGTGAAAAACACCTCAACGATTGTGCCGCAATACAAAAGACAAGAAAAAATGCAAGAGGCATGCCGGCTGGGTCTCAAGTAATGGATGGACATCGTTCCGAAGAGCTAACTGCCGCCTATTATGCCACAAGATAGTAGTATGCCTAATAAATGAGATTGTGCTTGGAGGGAGAGGGATAAAGAAACTCACGACACAAACACCATTGAGGTCGGCTCCTAGCCATGTCAGCAAGTGTATCCTGCCGAACGTGTTCATCGCCTTTCGGACCTTAACCAGGGAGCGGAGAAGCATCAACCAAAACCAACTTCATAGTAAGGGCCTTCATTCCTCTTGATCAAGTCATCGCTTGGCCACCCCTCCTCTTCCATCCACACCCCGGTGCGCAAACAATGCACGTCGCGGGAGTCAGTGGGCTGGCATGTGCAACACGTGATCAAGACATCGGAGCCTGATGCGTGAAATAACGGTGCTGAGCGGTTCGCTTCTTCCTGCGCCATAAATAAGGCGTCGAGTACTCATTGTTCCCACGGTGTTCCCATCAGATATGAGCTAAATTACGAAGGCACCGGTGGTCGAACGTAACTAGCCTCTTTATGTCGGCTGATCTAATGGGCCAGGTTTCATAACCGTACAGCAGGGTCGAACCTATGGCTGCATTGTACACTCTACCCTTCAAGGAGAGAGTGGTGTCGCGCCGGCGCCATAGTTGGCGAAGGTTATCAAAAGCGCCTCATGCCTTTGCTATGCGGTATGTGACGTGTTCAATTCCAACGGCGCTGATACAACTGCCTATGTAGTTAGAATTTTGAACGACTTCTAGCTTATCCCCATCAAGGGTCAGCGCAGGAAGGGCTACCTCTCAGTCTTGGAGGAAAGCTTTGCACTCCGAGGTTGCAAAGCATAGCCTGAAGCGGTTGGCAGCCAGTACTTATCAGTCCAGAGACGTTTGACACATTTGTAAGCTGTCACAGATAAGCGTAATGTCGTCAGCATACTCCAAGTCAAGAAGTCGTTCACTTTAGAACAGCTCCACACCGAATTCCTGTCCTGTGAATGCGATCTCCATTACTTCGGCAATAGCGAAGTTGAAGAGAAAAACTGACAGCGGACATCCTTGTTTTACACCGCTGAAGATATTGAAGAGTGGTGACAGCTTGCCGTAAGCCCTCACTCTGCCCGAGTCACACGCGTAAAGCGCTTGCATAGTATTTACCTACTTCCCCGGCACACTTTTACTTAACAGACAGTCCCGGAGAGCACATCGATCCAACGATTTGAAGGTACCTTTGATGACGAAGAACACGAAGACGGTGGGCCACCAATATATTCCGCTGTGCTCCAACAACTGACGCAAGGTGAATATGTGGTCGATGCATCCCCGACCTCGACGAAACCCGGCTTGCTCCTCACGTACCTGGCCTTCACCAGCGCTAGTCAAATTGCGAAGAATGACAGGCAAACAATTTGAAGGCGATAGAGATCAGACTGATTCCTCTATGGTTGCCGCATTCCGAACGCGAGTCTACTTTGAAGACGGGGACAATAATAGAGCGGCTGCAGTCGGTTTGGACAGTTTCCCGCTCCCACAGTTTCACTAGTAATTCGTGTATATCATCAACAAGAGTGGGGCCCCCGAATTAGAGGAGGGCTTTATGAAGATCATCTGGTCTTGCGGCTTTGTTCAGTAGTGAAGCGCTAAGCAAGGATGCGGTAGCGTTGAACAGGGGTGTGGTAGCATGAGCGCCTTGTCTGAGGTGCACCTTCATTGGTCGAACCGCGCGGTTCTGCTTGACTGTAACGTGGAAACATAGGTATTTTATCCGTCGCAAAAGGACGGGTTACTGCTAGATTAGCCCCATCCGCGCCTCAAAACGGTCAGGAGGCCGAGATGAACTCAACAGGAAATTTATTACCAGAGGTGGGTGCGTCTTCTGTGATGGTAAAAATACAGGAGACACGTCGAATGTTTAGGTAGGCTTGTGATGTTTAGAGACGTGGACCTCCTATAAAGATGATAAGTGATGGACCCAATCATCTGAGAAATGACACACGCGACTGTGGTGCGGCCACCGCATTTGCGTGTGTCAGCCACGAATATGACGTATCGGGCGTTGCTCGGCTAAAACGTGTCAGCCGTGTTTAGTAGAGCCAATGAGTTGGCGAGTTCAATTGGGTTGTGAAATCTGGCCCATCAAACCGACAGACATAGAGAGGGAAGCTTGTTACGTTCGATAATCGCTGCCTTCGAAGCTCGGCTCACAACTAGTGGGTACAGCGCGTGAGCAATGAACACGATCGGCGTCTTGTTAATGACGCACGAAGACCTAGTGAACCACTCAGCAGCACTGCTTCACGCACCTGCGTTCCGATGGCTGGGCTGTGTTAAGCATATCAGCACACTGATTGCCGCGACGTGCGTTGTTTGTGAGTCGGTGGTATCGATGGAAGAAGAGGGTGGTCTTTACCGTGGTTTGGTGGTTTGCTTGCCTCAGCGATACACTGAGCTAAGGTGGGTGGTGCTTTTGCACCTTCAGAGCCGCTCATAACAGATTGGTCAATGGTTAGGGGCCAGACAAACACAGTCTCCTGGTTCTCCAGCTTGGGAGTTGGAGTGAGGGTGGCTCCTTATTCGCTAAAACGGACGCCCTGCAGTAAACTGGAAAACCCCGCTGCCCTGCGTTCAGGCTTTTGAACCATAATCGTTCTCCTGTATAGGCCTAAGAAACCTGCCCAGATATATATATATATATATATATATATATATATATATATATATATATATATATATATATATATATATATATATATAGACAATGTGCCACCAGAACCATGGAAAAAAAGAGACAATTAACGTACGAAGAGAACCAAAAAGCTTTTTTTCTGGGTTTCACATACACCGTTTAGAGTTTTCTGCTTTTTTATATATTGGAGATTAAGCAGCAAGTAAACAAGCACAACACTGGGGCCAGTGATATCCTCTACGTGCCATCACATCCAACGTTTACAACCACAGGAATTCCGAGTCACGTGGTCACCAATCCTGAAGGCGCACAGATGTGACCGATGCTAAGCTTGAGACTGCTTTCCTCATGCGCCTTGTCCACGTCGTTGGTTGTCCACCGCGACCTTTTTCCAATCGCTTCCACGAAGCGCAAAGAACGCTCGCCGGGGAAGGCGATAGGCTGGCATCCGCAGTACGTGGCCGAACCACCACATGCCGTGTCGGAGAATAAAATTTTGAAGGCTGGGACGGTTAGCTCCAAGCACTCGTTCACGAACTTCTGTATTGCTTATGTGATGTGGCCACCACACACAAACAATCATTCGCAGACATCGGTTGTCAAAAACTGACAGTCGTCTCGTGTCTTCCGAGGGAACAGGCCAAGTCTCCCGGCCGTACAGCAAAACGGACGGCAGCATTGTACACCCTGCCCTTGAGACTGACATCACGAGGACGCCACATGTGCCTCAGCATGAGTAAAGCAAGACAAGCTTTCGCAATGTGCTGTGAAACCTCATCTCCAACACCGCCAACAGCCGTGATGTGAATCGCTGGATAAGTGAAGCAATCCACTTGTTCCAGAATGTCACCAGCAATGGGGAGCGCGGACTCGGGCTCCTGCCAATCCTGCAATAGCACTTTACATTTGGCTTGGGTGATACACAAGCTGTAATTGGATGCCTCAATCGCTGTGTTTTGGACAGTTTGCAGACCGTCAC